TTTTTTTCTTTTTTTTTTTCTTAAACAGGTCCTTATGGTCCCGGTCGCTATTCTAATAATCTAAGTCTCTGTATCGTTCCAATTTTTACGGATGTCCCGATGTCCCTAAGGACAGTTTTGAAGTGTTTTCTGATCTTTTAATCTTTGTTAATTTTGATTTTCTTGTCGAAAAGGCGGTTTGGAAATTGCCGCAAATGTGAAAACATCGTTGTTGCAGGCGAGGTTTGAACTGTCGGTTGGCGACGCCCCCAGCCTTTTCTGTCCCCCTGCCGTGTGTTTTGCCTGGCGACACCCCCAGCCCGGCGTTTAACACGTTACATTAAGTACATGGCAGGAGGTTCGTATCAACGATTGAAAAAAAAATTATAACCGTGCGGAAAAGCAGTGTAGCGATTAATTATTGTTAAAGAGAAAAACTTAGAAAAGTAATGGTATTGTTGGGTTTCAGCAAACGGCAGCCTTTGCATCTGCTAGTAGCTGGCTATGGCCCTCACTCCACTGCACGGCATTTGAAATGTATATCTGGACGTGATACGTTCAAAATGCTGGATCGGTCAGTCGGAATGCATCTGGACATGCTGCAGCTAGATACATTTCGAATGGTGTGTTATGGAGCACACTCCCAGTCTTCTTGAATCTGTTTACTGATGACCAGCGACCGCTGATCACTCCATCTGTGTGTGTGTGTGTGTGTGTCACTGTGTCCCGTATGTCCCTTGACGTACTCACCATGCACCCCATGGAACCCATGGTACACCCCGCCCTGCCGCAGCCTAACTAACACTGTATGTTGCCACTCGACTACTTCTCATGAAGCTACCTCGTACATGCATGGTTATTCATGACCAGCTTTCCAAAGTGCCAGACATATGGGCTAGAGGGCAAGGGGGAGGGGGGAGGGCAGAGAACATACAAGCATACCAAGCAGGCAAACCAAAGAAAAAAGTCCCCAAAGGATGCCAAGACCAGGCAGACATGAAAAGCATCAAGGCATGTAAAAACCAAGCAAGCAAAAAGACATTCAAGGCAAAAGAGCAGTGAGGTGAACCATTGGCTGGAGGGCACGGGGGAGGCGGGAGGGAAGACAACATGCAAGCACACCAAACAGGCAAACCAGGAAAAATACAAGTCCCGAAAACATCAAAGACCAAAAAAAAAGAAAAACTGATGAAGATAGATTGTTTCGTTGGAGTTGCACCGACTCATCAGGAGGTTGAACCGTGACCGTCTGCCCAGGATGCATTTGGCTGATGGATAAGCACACGCCACCTCGCCCACAGTTAGCGAGTACCCCTGAGAGAGACAAGTGGTTGACTCTACTCACGCCAACCCTGCAATCCAAACACCTGACAAGAATGACATTAATTCTAAGAAACTAATGTGACACTGCCATAAAACCCACTCTACACACCCACTCAGCCATGGATACCCAATCGCTCTCTCTGTGTGTGTGTGTGTGTGTGTGTGTGT